TAGGAGCACACAGGGTCGTCACCCATCAGCCTGGGCATCTTGGGGTTAGCAGCAGAGACCAAAGTGGGATCCCAGGCTGTTGTCCTGCTTCACATCCCACCCTGTGGCTGTGGGTGGGAATGGCACACAGGGCACTGCAGAAGCAAAGCCCCAGCCTTTGGAGGGAGACAACCAGCCCCACAGCTCTGCCCTCACCTCCAGCCCCAGGGGACCAGCCCTGAGTGTCCTGGTGCCCAGCGTGGTTCCCTCCTGGCTGCCGCCTGCTCCGCCGGGCTCCTCTGCACCCTGCGCAGGAGGAGGGAAGGTAACGGAGCCCACACCTGCCCTGTCCCAGGCACACCCCAGCACCTGTCCCAGGACCTGGGGGACAAACCCACCCTGGGCATGGGGCTGTGGGGAGCTCCCCCTTCCCAGGGACACAGAAAACCTCCTCCCATGTTTCTTTCTGGCACGCTGCCCCTGCCCACCAAAGCCCCCGCTACCCCCCATGATCCGGGCATCACCATGGAGCTGGACCACGGCCCGTCTATGACAACAAGCTGTACCTGGCAGAGGTGAGGGCCCCAGGTGTGGGCAGCGTGGGCAGAGGATGTGCAGAGTGGCGGCTCACCCGGGGCAGCCCCTGCATCCCCCAGCTGTGCCTCAGGGCTGCAGGGACATGCTGTCCCCTCCCTAGGGTGGCTGTAGTGACATGGAGCAGGACCCTTAGCTAGAGGACAATGGTATCTACACAAACACCCTGTGTCAGGAGGAGGTGATGGGGACACCTGGCCGACATTTCCTGGGAGAGGAGGTTTCCTACTTGTCCTAATGGAGCTTCCCTCGTGGGCAGAGGGTCCCTGTGGGGCCAAACTTGGGGACATCCTTGTGATCACCCCCAGGGATGTCCTTGTGATCACCTCTGGGGACATTCTTGTGGTCATCCCCAGGGACATCCTTACTGCAGCAGAGGAGGTGAAGGGGCATTGCAGCCGACATTTCCTGGGAGAGGAGGTTTCCTACTTGTCCTAATGGAGCTTCCCTCGTGGGCAGAGGGTCCCTGTGGGGCCAAACTTGGGGACATCCTTGTGATCACCCCCAGGGATGTCCTTGTGATCACCTCTGGGGACATTCTTGTGGTCATCCCCAGGGACATCCTTACTGCAGCAGAGGAGGTGAAGGGGCATTGCAGTAGGTGGCAGCTGTTGTTGCAGCAAATAAATTGCTTTGGGTCCAGATAAACCCAATAAATAAATTCCTCTGTGGATTCTCAATCTGGCGGGGAAAAGAGACAATCTGGTGTGCCCACAGAGCAGCTTTCCTGCTGCTGTCCCTTTTGGGGGTCCCCAGGGCACCCTGGTAGTGCTGGGGCTGCATTAGGAGGGGGTGGTGGGAACTGATACTCAAAGCAAGGAAGACGAGAGTGGCTGGGGGGGGGGGGGGGGGGGCGGGGCCTCCCCTGGAAGGCTCAGCAGCAGAAAGCAGGTTCACAATCTCCAGCCACTTGAATTTAGATTTAGTGCTGTTTGCAGTGACTCAGTTCACTGCTGCTCAACCCCTTCGCTGGGAATGAGGGGATTACTTGATGATCAAAAGGAAAACCCAAGCTTCCTCTTGCCATGGTAGGGGGACAGAAGACAGAGGGTGGATGGGACAGGGGGAAAGAGCAGCCTCAGCCTCCGGTAGAGACAAGGGTTTGTGCTTTC